TGTCAGTCATGTTGTAGGTGCACCACTTCACCCTTTGTGCCCACCCCCCACCCCACCTTTCCCCTGGTATCCACTAAACTGTTCTTAGTCCATAATTTTAAGTTCCTCATATGAGTGGAGTCATACACAGATTATCTTTCTCTCGCTGGCTTATTTCACTTAACATAATTCTCTCAAGGTCCATCCATGTTATTGCAAATGGAATGATTTTGTTCTGTTTTGCAGCTGAGTAGTATTCCATTGCATATATGTACCACATCTTCTTTATCCATTCGTCTGTTGCTGGACACTGAGGTTGCTTCCATGTCTTGGCTATTGTAAACAGTGCTGCAATAAACATTGGGGTGCATAGGACTTTTGGGATTGCTGACTTCAAGCTCTCTGGATAAATATCCAGTAGTGGGATGGCTGGATCGTATGGTAGTTCTATTTTTAATTTTTTGAGGAATCTCCATACTGTTTTCCATAGTGGCTGCACCAGTTTGCATTCCCACCAGCAGTGTATGAGGGTTCCTTTTTCTCCGCAACCTTTGGAGAGGAAAGTTTAACCCTCACCACGAGCATCTGCACATACTCAAACACAAATTTAAAATATTTAAACCGTGTCCTTTCTCCTTTCCTACCCACATATTCCATTCCTTCATCCCTGCCCCATGATTTTGAGAAATAAAAGAACTAAAAGAGGCTTGACCTTGTAACCTGGTGCTAAAGAGCTGAGGTAAGGGTAGGGACCTATTCGTTCATTCACTAAACATTACTGAGTTCCTATACATACTATGTGGTAGGCTCTGTTCTAAGCACTAGGCAAACATTAGTGAACAAAGCAAAGTTTCTTTGTCTGGACCTTATATTCAAATAGGTAAGATATGAATAATAAACAAATGAATATATAATATATAAGGTGGTGATAAGTTTTTTTTTTTAAGAAAAATACAATGGTACAGGGAGAAAAAAGAATTGACTGGGCTTGCTATATTGTGCATTAATTTCTTTATGCTCTCACTTGGCATTCAATAAAGTTTTCTTGAAAGAATGAACAAACTTATTAAGAGATCTCTATGGTTGCTTCTGTCTCGTTGGTGACAGTGATAATATTGTAGCCAATGAGATTTATCTAAATACAGTGGCTCTGAATTCTGAAAAGTGAGAGTAGTAGCATGAAAGACTAGAACAGTGAAAATAAAAGATACTCAAATTTCTGGCATCTGAGCAAGTTGGAGTAAGGGAAGTACAAGCTGGTCAATTAATATGAGAAAACCAGAAGGAAGTGGCTAGCACGTCTGTACCTTTGTTCTAGGTTCTCGAGATATGGCTAAAAGAAATTAGTAGCCTTTGGGGGTTCCGTTTACACAAACTCCTAGTTAAGATTTCAGCAGCCACGCCCAGGGAAGGTCCTGAAACTAATCATCTGCTTAGGAAAACAGAAGATGTCTGTGAGGTTGGAAAGTAGTTAGAAAAAGGATCAGAAAATGAATCATTCCGGTTCACTCATTCTAGAAACTCCAAAATAAACTTGAGTTTATCTTCAGGACAAGTTTTAAAAGAAACAGTGCTATTAAACTTGAAATTACTTTAACAGAGAAAATATCTTTCATTCTGTTATCTCTGAAAAATGCATTAAAAAATAATATTTACCCTTTGTTGATATCCAAAGTGCTTACTTCACAGGCTAGCAATTCCTAATACAGAGGAAGGAGGGGTTCCAGAGTGGTAGATGGGACCACCCTTGCATCATTTACACTGTCTTCTATTTTCTGTTCACCCCTACAGACACGCATGCGTGCGCACACACACCCACAAACACCAGATTTATAGTTGGTAAAGATACAGGAAAAATTTGTCATCATATTCACCATTCTGAAATATGAAGGAACTACTCTAAACATAGTTTAAAATCACACATTTTTATAAGTTGAAAGGATACTTTACCTTTTGTAGTATGTAAAAATCAGATCTGCTTCAGGAACTAGATGACCTCACCAACTCAAAGCAGGGAGGGGTCATAAATGGGAGTGTTGAGTAGCACGCAACGAGGAGGCACAAGAATGTCTGAGAATAATATTTCTTTTAAAAGAGAGTGGAAAGTTCCTTTTTTAAGATTAGAGGAAAAAAGATCATGGAATTTTACACATGAAGCATAGAGATATTTTGTCTTCCTTTATAGGAAGAGGGAACAAAGATGAAAACATAAACTCAAAAAGGCTAAATATTCAAAACCCATTCTTATGCCTTCCTCAGTTATTTTTCCCTCATGAAAAAATATACTGCAAAGATAGAATAACAGTATATCACTAACAAAGTGATACATCTCAGCCAATCAGAAGATCCTAGATAGGGAACTCACAGGCAACAGGTAGCTACAAAGATGTTTGATAACAAACTAGATTTTAGTTCAAATTCACAAGCCCTTGAAGAGTGTAAGTCTAAGATACAGATTCTGGTTCCGTTTACATAGATATTCCACTGAGGTCGGAAAAAAAGATCAAAAGGTATGTGAAAAAGCAGCGAATAGCAGTTAAAGGTTAGTGAGAAAATGGTAAATCAACTTTTTAAATTTCTTAAAAGATGGTTAGAATCAGACTGCCTGGATTTTAACCCTGAGTTTACTACATACTAGCTGTGTCACAACAGGCAAGTTATTGAATCTTTATATGCCCTCAGTTTCATCACTTCTAAAATGGGAACAATACTAGTGCCTCATGGGGTTACTGAAAAGTTTAAATGTTTGTAATTCTTATAAAAACATTCAGCACAGTGTCTGGAACATAGGGGGCATTCAATATACATTACCTAGTATTATTTTAACATTATTATATAGTTAAACCCAGTTAGTGGGAATTTGTTTGTTTGTTTGTTTTGAGGAAGATTAGCCCTGAGCTAACATCCACCACCAATCCTCCTGTTTTGGCTGAGGAAGATTGGTCCTGAGCTAACATCTGTGCCCATCTTCCTCCACTTTATATGTGGGATGCCTGCCACAGCATGGCTTGATAAGCAGTATGTAGGTCCACGCCTGGGATCTGAGCTGGTGAACCCCGGACCACCAAGCAGAGAGTGCAAACTTAACTGCTACGCCACCAGGCAAGCCCTGGGAATATTTTTTAATATTAAAAAAAAAGTGAGAAGACATACTCATCTCTCCATTGATCATAGCTACAACATTAACCAGGTTTGTCAAACCATATAACTTAGGCATCTCCATCTACCACTCAGGAACTGCCTGCAGGCTCAAGCTTTTTAGGAGAAGAAGCTTTTTAAAAATAAGCTCTTGGGGCCGGCCCGGTGGTGCAGTGGTTAAGTGGGCATGTTCCACTTCGGCGGCCTGGGGTTCACTGGTTCAGATCCAGGGTGCAGACATGGCACCATTTGATGGGCCATGCTGTGGTGGGTGTCCCACATGTAAAGTAGAGGAGGATGGGCTCAGATGTTGGCTCAGGGCCAGTCTTCCTCAGCAAAAAGAGGAGGATTATCAGCAGATGTAGCTCAGAGCTAATCTTCCTAAAAATAAATAAATAAATAAGCTCTTTAAACCTGGTGCCAGAAAATATCACAAATTACTCACCAGCATAAAAATATATGTAAACTTTCCATACCTAAGTTTTATGAAATAAGCAAAATCAAATTTGTGTGAGCTGTTTTCAATCTTTGTATCTAGCATTCTTCCCCTTCTAAGTTCATATCTCCAAATTTAATCAACAATGAATCTCTAATTATTTTAAAAGTTGACTTGTTTTAGGTAAGCATTTATCTGCCCCACTGTAACATTTCTTTTGTTAGAAACAGAATTTATGCTGGTGAAGTTCAATACCCAGCAGACGAGAGACTGCATAGTTTCTGTAGCAACAGAGCTTCTGGAACCATTTCAAAATGGAATGCCAAAGACAGTGCATTAATGGAGAGATGATATTTAGAGATATATTTCTACATTAATAAAATAAAACATAATATACTTTATAAGTTAATCTCAAGTCTGAGCCAGACATGGAAGGGTGGAAAGCCTGAATTCTGTACCCGCATAATCAACAGCCTGTGGAAACTCTGGGAACCGTGCCACTGGTCTCCAACCTAGCATAGTTGGGAAATGACACATTCTTTAAGAAGCACTCGTCCAGGAAATGAGTGGGTCACAAAGCAGTCCAGCAAAAGGTCCATAAAATGTGTTTTATGAATGAAGAGTATAAGGTGTACTGGCTGCAGCACCTTTATGAGTATGTCATAATTTCTCAGTCATTCCTCAGTTGTTATCATGGTGATGGATAGATATAACAGAACTCTAACAAGAAAAAATAATCATGTCAGCCATAAGAATATTGTCCCATGCCATTTCGTAATTATTTTTAATCAATATTTTCCATATTTATCCCCTTTCCAAGATCAGATCTTCTCACCTGCCCCTTCCCACCAAAAGAAGAAATGGTATACACACACAAAAAAACCTCACAAACTTAAACTTAATCAATTTTATTCACACTACCCATGAAAAGCAATTACATTTTTACATAAACTCATTAACACAGAGAACAAGAGAAATCTTAAAATTAATATATCTGATTAGGGACACAATACAGAAAAAAAGTGAAAATTAAAAATAGCATACTTTAGTGATTAAATTTATACTGTATTTCCTACTTATTTATAGCAGCATCTGTAAGATTCCTCTATTTTTTTGTTAATAGTTAACTAGCAGCAAAATTTTTTAAATTACACAAAATCAGTAGATGTTTCCCTCCTGTTTCATTCACACAGTTTATCACATTAACCAAACAAAACCACTTCTATTTCCTAAAGAAAAAGGTGAGAAAAGATTTCATAAGTCACCAGTTTCCCCAAAAAAGAAGGGAGGAGTGAAGAAGGAAGCTGAAAAAAATTTGTATGCAATTACCAAAAGATAAATTCTCAACCACCATCACCAATTAGGAGTGGATTTTTGGAGTCTCCATGTGTGTGTGTGTTACTGAATAAAAGCTACGTTAGCTTCATTTTCTAACTTTCTGCTGCAGTTGAAAAACATGTGGAAGTTTCCAGGAGGCTTGTCAGAGCCTGGAGAAGATATTGGTATGTATGTTACATATTTTGAATTGGTTTGAAAATGTTGTGGAAATTCATGTGTTTACTTTCTTGCTCTATAGCTGAGAATAAGATTTCAAATTTTCTAATTGGTTCAGACTAAGTCAGAAAATTTCAGAGAGGTTACTTCAGGGCTGATAGAAAATTAGAAGCAAAACTTTTAAGTTACTCCTCTAGTATAAATAATACCATTGGAGCATACCACCTTTTCTTCTGTCGAGGACTGCTTCTAGATTAGTTTGTTTGAAAATGAGAAGCTTTGGAGATACATCAGTAAAGTTTAGCATTAAGGGTTATTTTGGATATGACTAAAGTTGTTGTTGGAATTAAACTATGAATAAAGATAAATTCTTGACTATTTCATCATAAAACAATGAAGAGTAAACTTTTTTTTCTTTTTGATGAGGAAGATTGTTGCTGAGCTAACATCTGTGCCAATCATCCTCTATTTTGTATGTGGGACACCGCCACAGCATGGCTTGATGAGTGGTTTGTAGGTCCACACCCAGGATCCAAACTCACGAACCCCAGGCCACCAAAGCAGAGTGCATGACCTTAACCACTACAGCAGTGGGCTGGTCCCAAGAGTAACTTTTAAGTGAAATAAGTATTATTTATAAAGCCAATTATAAGGCAGTAGTGATGTAATTCTTCTCTTTATGAAAATTTTATCTACTGTTTACTTTGAATAGTCAGGAAGCTAAAACATAGTAAAATGTCTCATATGAGAATGTCTCAAATGAGAGAGAGCTCCCTAAAACAACTTAGTGAGCTCAACATTTAAGACAGGGAAATATGAAAGGAGCTAAGAATTCTTTAGGTCCTGATTTTACAAGAAATAGACAAAAGAATAGAAATTGAGTTCTCCTACATCTTCCTTAAACCACTGGTTCAAATGCAGACTCCATCATAATAAATCAATAGATAATGCATTTGATACCAGTATTATTTCTCTGTGACTTTTTCCTCAATATGATGTCCCCTATTCTCTTTAGCCAACATCTGTATGAAGGCAGTTTCCTAAATCATCTTAAAATATTTTATTTAAAAATGTATATATACCTGAAACTTGATTTTTTAAAATGTTACACAGATTAAAATGCCCTAAAAGCAGTCTATAGCCAATTCCTAACAACCTATAAGTAAATTTACTACATTCAGATATATCCATAGCAAATTTTGGTTTTTAGGTACTTATTGACCTTTTGATTAGATTCTGCTAGGTCTTCTGTTGAAATAAGAGGATTTTATAGTGGTGCTAGAGCTGAAAGAGAAGGCCATTTATTCTAGAACACCTAAGTATCTCACACTATCCGTATGTGATATATGAGAGTGTATGAACCAGTTAGGTTTCTGTTTTACATCCTTACCCAATCCGTATTGGGCAAAAAGCAGTCTACAGAAGAAGTGTGTGTAGCTGCTTCTTCGGAGTCTTGCCTTCTCAAACAAACTGACTTTTTCCCTTTGAGTTTTACAGATCTTCTGAATTTCAGATATACTTATATTTAAATGTAAATGAAGAAACACAGCTCCAAGCCAAATATGTATAACTTTAGTTTTACGTGTACTCCAGAATCCTTCAAGTCCAGATAATTAAGAATTTACTTTTTTAAAAGTATTTGTGGTTGTCACAACAACCCACCTTTCCAGAGATCATATATATACCTCCACCATGGAGAATTAAGAAATAAGCAGCAACTGGCATTCACCATACTGCCTGTGAGTAGTATAAATTAAAGCTTTGCCTTAGAACTGATAAACCCTGAACAGCTAGAAATGATAAGTGACAGTAGAGGCCTGAAAGATTATGTCTATATGAGGGCATTTCTCTTGTGTAACACAGTACAGTGACAGATTCCTCTTAATGATGAAGCCAAATCATCTAAGAATTATTTAAATTATTTTCTTGTCTTTAAACCCTGTATTTAGGAAAATATGTAATATGTTAGGAATACTGCCATCACAAATGTGCAAACATTCATATTGGCTCTGAAGTAGTAAACACTAGTTAACTGGGAAACACATTTGTTTGGAATCCTTCATTCTTTGATAATACTAGGTAAATGAGGCACTATTGTCCAGAGTTGTTTAAAAAAAAAAAATTAAGAGGGGCATATACAAAATAGAATGCAATCCTCAGGGTTTAATATAATATAAAACCCTAAGAGTACAAAGGTCTCTACAAGGTTAAAAATGGAGAAGTTGCGTTCCTAAAAAAAATCTCATTACCACTGACAGGGAGACAGTCCTCTGCTGTCAAAGCAGCGGGTCTGATCAGAGCTCATCAGTGCACCAGAGTCAGAGGGAAACACCAGCAAAACCCACAGTCTGCACAAGTTTTCCTATGATTTTATTTTATTTCAACCTAATCCTATTATTAAATATTACAAAATAGAAATAACAAATATAAACTTCATTTCATTATTGTCCTGTAACTAAACGCTATGACGTATTTGACATCTCTCTCGATCAGCAAAAATAAAAACAAAACTCTCTTGGCTTTTCCTGTGTTCTTCAGACTTATAAAACAGCAAATATTTTTTCAGTTTTGCTTACAGTAAATTAAAGTAATAAAGGTACAAAAGAATAAAGCACTCTATCTAGATAAAAACTTTAAATTCATGGTGAAATCTTTAGGGAGAGATTTCCATCTTGAAGTAGAAGGGGTCTCTCATACAGTGGATACCAAAGCACTTGTTTGCCCTTTCAGTTTTCAGTCTAGTCAATGATACGGTGATTCAAGTTAAACTGATGGAGCTTCCTGGGCAGCTCTGACTGTGCATCACCTGCTGTGGTGCCTGCTGAGAGGGCAGATTCGCTCTCTAGCCCCATCCTGTGCTTCCGTGACATAGAACCAGGCTAGACTCAGGAACTAAATGCCAAACTCATGAATAGTGGCACTAAGCGCTAAACAGGACCCCTTTGGTTACTCTTCAAAGCATTTAAAGAATAAAAATGAACATTTAGACAGAATTAGGTGAGATCAGCAAATGACAGGTAAAATTTAAGACTAGCGCCACAATCTTCAATACATTTAATAACAAACATGTACTGTATGCCACACTGAAGAATATTTTTCCTACTAAGTTTTCCTTAGCATAAATTCCCCTTTTATGTTTTTAGTTTAAAAATGTAATTTATAACCATGTTTAAGCTATGGCAAATTTCAATTATAAGGGAAGTCAGCATATAATTCAAAAATGGCAGACAAATATCTTATGTTTTAGAAAGCTTCACTCTTCCTGTGCACATTTCCAGAGCTGTTTCTTAGAAAAAAAACAAGAGCATATCCAGGGAATTGGTAAGACAGTCTAAGAGCACACAGGAATTGAGACATTTTTCCTTAACTTCCTGTCTCTTGCCTATTCTTCACCAGTAGGACTACTAAGAAGGCAAATGTAATTTCTATTTTACAAACAAGAAAATGGAAGCCTTAAAGGATCTTTGAACAAAAATCTATGCCTGTGGCAATTGTGAAGCTTCGCAGCAAACTGGGCAAGAAACAGAGCTTTTTTAAGGGCTTCTCATCAACACTTTGGGAGACAATGACAGAGCGACACAAAATTAGAGAAAGCCCATTTAAGAGTTTTATCTGGATATTTTGAAAAAGCAGCCACAAAAATATGTCAATGGCAATAAAAATCCTACCCCAGGAATTTGAAGGTTATTGAAAAGTCAACCTTATAAAATGTGAAAACACTTGTTGCATTATAAAATTCTTTACAGTCATGCTCTGCATAATGACATTTCGGTCAACAACAGACTGCATATATGACAGTGGTCCCATAAGATTGTTACCATATAGCTGAGGTGTGTAGTGGGCTATACCATCTAGTTTTGTGTAAGTACACTCTATGATGCTCAGACAAGGATGAAATTGCCTAACGATCCATTTCTCAGAACATGTTCCTGTTGTTAAGTGACACATGACTGTATACTCCAAGTTTTTTGAAAATGTCTGATGAAATGACTAGAGCATTTTGGTGTTGAAGAAATGAATCCAAGTTCTTTGGAATCTCAAGAAACAAAAGAAATGCCAATGCCACTGACAGAATACCAGAGAAGTATAACAAAATGGTCATAAAGAAATGTGCTCTATGACTTTAGAGGCTTGATCCCACCCAATATCACCAGGAGAGATCTGAATCATTTCATAGTTCAATACATTCTACAGACTTTTACCAGGAAGAATGGATCACTTCTTCTCAATACTGATTTATGTACACTTCGGCAGTTCAGGATTATCAGGCAGGATAATAATGAAGAAATACATAGGAATATTAACTGCAGCTTTGCAACCTATGTTTTCACCTTTTGGGAAATAGAGCAGGAAGAGGTTAAGAATATGTGACCCCAAAAATATACAGGTAGGTAAGCCTACAAGTAGCAGCCAAAAAAATATTCAGTATTTCAAAAGCTTCTTAGAGGTACAGTGGTAAGAAAATACTTTGATATTTCAGGATGTCCAGAAGGCAAAGAGTTTATATTGAAACTTTTGCTTTCCTAGGGTGAAGTTTTGCTTTTTGAACCTTTAGATAATGCTAACTTTATATGAAAACCTTTGATGATTAAATTTTTAAAATGTGATCCTTATTAATTTGTACATCTTTCTTCTATGTAGGAGACACAGCAGTTCGAGAAGTTTTTGAAGAGACTGGCATAAAATCAGAATTCAGATCCCTCCTCAGTATTCGGCAACAGCACACCAATCCTGGAGCTTTTGGGAAGTCAGATATGTACATCATCTGCCGCCTACAGCCGTGTTCATTCACCATAAATTTTTGCCAGCACGAATGCTTACGATGTGAGTGGATGGATCTCAATGACCTGGTCAAGACTGAAAACACGACTCCCATCACCAGCAGAGTTGCTAGGCTGCTGCTGTATGGGTACAGAGAAGGGTTTGACAAGATTGATCTGACCATGGAAGAACTTCCGGCAGTTTACACAGGCTTGTTCTATAAACTCTATCATAGAAAACTGCCAGACAAGTACAAAACTATGACATTAATGGATTAAATTCATATTTACATGTTTAAAAAATTGTAGGTAAATTTTACATGTAGATTAATGCATACCATATTACAAATAGGGAACATTTTGTGTTAACTAAATATCTGACTTTAATTTTCTAATGTGTATGATTTCCATGAAGAAACTTGTTTGTAAGTGTGCAGATTTTAAAAGCCTCTTTTCAAATGAAGCAAATGTATGAAAAAGATTGTAGCTCTAAGGAAGCTTCACTGGATAAAGGCAAATGCTCTATAAAAAGTGGGATTCTATACATTTTCCAGGAATTCATGTTTTTCTTTACTAAGGCAATGGTTAAATATTTTACTATTAGATAAAGGTTATCTGACCAGTTATCCAAACTGAGCAAATAGCTGTACACATTTTTCTTTTTCTTTCATTAACAAATTTCTAAAATATACCTCTTCTTTCACATAAAATGAGATCAGATGCTGCCATTAAGATCAGCTCTTAGCAGACATTGGAAGAAAAAGTATAGCTTTCTGTCCAGGTCCTGTTTTGGGTCCAAGTTTATACTGCCCCGTTCGTTTCAGGGCCACATACCAACTGGAGTATTTCCTTGACCGGTAAGTATTGTAGTTATTAGATTCCAATCGTTCAAAAAAGAAACACTCGTCCGTAACACATTTCTGAAAAATAAAGGAAGAATTAGTAGTAGTTGTTGTTTTTATCATTATTATAGTTCTTGCATTAAATATTTATGACAGTACACTACCCATTCTCCTCAACCAGCAGCAGTGCTCTTGGGTTCAGCAGGACAATCAAACTAGCAAGATTCAACAGGGCAAAATCTGACATAATCTGGCTCTGCAGAAGGATGCAGGATGGAAACACAGGATGTCAGCAGGACAGCTTCAAGCACAGCTCTGCGGAGGAGTCCAAGGACCATTCTCCAGCCCCCACAAAGGACAAGTCAGGTGTTGGGCAGCGAGAGGACACAGAGGTGTAGGAACCACACTGGCTCAGACTTGAAACATCCCATGAACACGGCTTTCGGGGGTCCCCACAAAGTGGGATACACCCAGTAACAAGAAGCACACTAGACTTAGGGAAACCCACAGCTATGGCTTCCAGTTAGGTATTTATGGTCCATCCACACTTCTCCCAGTCATTTTTACTTTTATCAGAGCTCCAGTGAAACAGTACTGAAAGGGTAGCCCTGGGGTAATCCTCCCATAAAGGAGAAGGGTTGTAATAATACTTTACTCACAGAAACAGAATTAATTCCTTAAATTATAGCAATTTTTTCTAGTGGCTGACATTGTTTCTAACATCTATTCTATAAAAAGAATAGTTTGTTGTACAGAAAATAGCTAGTGTATATAATTCCAAAAAATTGTATTGGAACATTATAAATGATTAGCATTCTCAAAACACTAATAGATAATGAGGAATATGTAATGTAGACCATATTGATTTCTGGAAGTCTCTTTCTTGTGGGAGGGGAAACTACTCTGCCTTTTTATTTCAATTAAACTATTTATCAGGAAGGGTGGAAATAGCTAGCTTTACAAATAGACCTGGAAATACTACTCCAAGTAATGGAATCTAATAGGCTGCCACATTATTTCAGGTAAATATTCAATAATCAACTTCACACTGATGATACTTATTGACCTCTGGGGGGAAAAAAATCAACAAATGATTTATTCACTTTAAGCTAAGAAAGGAAAAATCATTTATTTTTTATATTACGATAATATATATATAGAAGGATGATAGAATGATAAACTCATATAGAAAATCATATAAATTTACACATATTTATATCTCCACATATAAATACAAGATGTATACACAAATAGATGACATAAACCTATGGATTAGTATTAATGAGTGTACCAGATTCCAGATTATTTCTATATACTCAAATCTAGGAAACTTCAGGTTTGGGAAAATGTACACTCAAAAGACTTGAATCTTTTCCCAGATTCTCTGGTTCCAAGATAAACTAAACAATGGCACAAACTATGAGAAAAAGGTAGGTCAATAAGCAAAACAATGAAAAGAGCTGGCATAATAACCAAAATGAAAAGTAAAGGACTTAGAAAGACCTAAGAGGGAATAACATGCGTCTAGTCATCTAAAGTAAGGGTGTGGTATGAGAGCCTGTAATCTGCTTCTGCAGACGAGAATTTTACTGGACATTTACTTGGCTTTAGTGTTTTGACTACTGTTAACTGAACTTTAAAAACTGAAATACAAACATCTAATTTGCCCATTTGTTGCAACACATTACTAATAAAGCAACTTAAGTCTTTCTGATGCAAATAAATCACCAGTAGCCTTTCAGAGACACATATGTTGCACAGGGAGCCAGCTCTGTGATACACAGGACTCTTAAAGATTCAAATGTGATAACAGTGAACACTTCTACCTGGAGTGATGTGGGTATTCCATATCCATTACTTTCAGTCTACCTTTGGTGAAATTTAGTACACTTCTTGTGTTAACTGAAGTTAACCTGGGTTACTTTGTCATTTCTCAGTGCCAGTGATAAAAATCTTCCTCTTTCCCTATTCCAGGTTTATAATTAAGAAGTGGAGGGGAAGTAAAGAGTGAAAGGAAAAGTCATTGTAATCATAGAGGTGAGATGAAAGGTCACCATTTTTGCTTGACAGGCTAATTCCCCAGAAGTAGACCTAACCACATCATTCAGTCATCACTCAGGACATTGATATGCTCATTTTTTGGCATTCTGTCAGCTTCCAGGGTGCCCCACCTTCCTGGCTGGCACTCCCTATAATGCTTGGCCTACTGGGATACGTACCATGCCAATAATAATTGCCTTCTGCCTTCTCAGCCAATTCCTAATATTTCAGAGAAAGGAAATACTACCAGAGATTAAATGGGTAATACATCATGGAACCCTCATTTTTTTTTTTTTTTACAGAAGTTACTTGTACCTTTACAAAAACAGAGGGGAGGGAAGGAAAACTTGCATGTCTGCTGAATGTTCAGCCATATAAATTTACTAAACTGTTTTGCACTTGAAAACAAACTGCATTATTTTTTTAACAGGGAGTAGGGCCAAAATTCAGTTCTCAAGAAAAGCAGGCATTTGACAGCCCAAGGTAAGTATAATTTTCACTTCTCTCCATTCTAAGTTTACAAACCCATCTTCAGTGACTGTGATCTCAATGTTCCTGTTAAAAAATGATGCAATATAATTTTTATTAACTTTATAAACATATTGACAGAGCTTTTTTCCTATTCTCACTGTTTAACTGCTAACTATCTCAAACAACAGAAAAGGGGGTCTTCTCTTTTTTTGTTTTGAGGAAGATTAGCGCTGAGCTAACATCTCCTGCCAATCCCCCTCTTTTTGTCGAGGAAGACTGGCCCTGAGCTAACATCCGTGCCCATCTTCCTCTACTTTCTATGTGGGATGCCTACCACAGCATGGCGTGCCAAGCGCTGCCATGTCTGCATCCGGTATCTGAACTGGCGAACCCCAGGCCGCCGAAGCAGAATGTGCGCACTCAACTGCTGCACCACTGAGCTGGCCCATGGGTCTTCTCTTCACATCACAAAGAACAACATCACAGAGAAAGTGGATAAGCAGCTTCAAAGGGCTTATAACAACTTGTACCCTGTACCTTGCCTTCAAGGCCGTATTTTCTAAAGGCCCACGAGCTGGGAAATCCCTTAATTCATGGTTACTGACTGCTTTCAGGCATATCATTTTATTTAAATATCACAACAATCCTGTGACATAATTATCATAATCTCAGTTTTAGAACTCAATGCTCTTAGTAACATTTCAGATTGTGAACACTCTTTGCCCATGTATCTATCTGACACGTTTACATCAAATTAAATTTTCTTTTCTTTTTTTTACTTACAAGTAATTTTGGGATACAGAAAGCACACAGTTCAAATAATGCATTTATTCATTTAACATATATATTTTTTCTAGGCACTGGGATACATCAATGAACAAAACTGAACAAGGATCCCTGCCTTTGTGCCACTCAAATTCTAGCTGGGGGAGACACACGGTAAGCAATAAGCATAACTGAGTAAATTATATTCTTTGCTAAAATATGATAAATCCTATGAAAAAAAGTAAAGCTGAGTCGGAGAAGAGGGATTGGGAGTGGTGGGAGTAGAGATTAGGTTGCAGTATTAAATAGCACAGTCACAGTAGGCTCCACTGACAAAGTGACATTTAAGCAAATACTTGAAGGAGATGAAGGAGCTAACCATCCGGATATCAGAGGAGAGCACTCCAAGCAGAGGGAGCAGCTAATGCAAAAGCCCTACGACAGAATCATGCCTAGAGTGTGTGAGGGGCAGCAAGGAGGCCCATGTGGATGAAGCAGAGGGTCTGGAGGGCAGAGGAGTAAGAAATGAGGTCAGAGAGGTAATGGGATGAGAGACAGGTAGGCTATTGTAAATATTTTGGCTCCTACTCTAAGAAGATGGAGAACATTGTAGACTTTTGAGCAGAAAAGTGGCATGATCTGACATATTTTTCCAGGATTACTCTGGCTGCCAAGTTGACAGTGGGCCAAAGGCAGATGCAGAGAGACCAGTGAGAGGCTTGCTCAGTAACCTAGGCAGAGAGAGTGAAGGCCTAGACTACAGTGGTGGCAGTAGAGATGATAAGAAGCTCTCTGCTTCTGGATATGTTTTGAAGGTAGAGTCAACAGGAATTCCTGACAAAGATCCTGTGAGGATCTTTGATGGGCCAGGAAACCTGGGTTCTGGTCCTGCCTTGATCCCTAACTAACTGTATCTTTGAGGGAGTCACTGAACTTCTCTGAGCCTTACTTTCCTCATCTGTAAAATAAGATTGGATTTGATGATCTTTAAGATCCCTCCCAACTGTTAGCAGTCTTTAGGCCTTTAAAACAATCTTTAATTGTTGGCATACAATAAGAAAAGAAATTAAGAACTAGAGAAAGTTCTCCCACCATCTCCCCTCCTTAGGCACTGGCCTCACAATTCTTGTCCACGGCTGACTGTTAGATTTGAACCTTATGGCCACTTCCCCATGCTCTGCTTTTTGGATTGTTTATTCTTTTACAGTACTTTGATTTTGCAGTTTTGGCTTATAAAGGAGTTTGCTCAACATGAATCCAAAAATGCTTCTGATTACACCACTTCTGAGAATTAAAAACAGACATGATGTAAGTATCAGTGTTGACTATTTCAGAACAAAATAAAATACACAAATTGTGAAAAGTTAAAAGTAAATTTCATCTTAACCTTGTAATATATATATAGGTTGTGTAAGATTTTATGATTGGTTTCTAAAAGAAGCAATAATTCTTACTAGGCAGTAACCTTTGAATTTAATCTAGTATTTTATCTCTTAAAAAGGATATACATTCCTCTTTAATTACTGCATTTTTCTGAGAAATTTGATCAGTATATATTGTCGATCTGGATAACTGAGCCCCTCAAAAATGCATTTTCCCTACTTTACTATGTGTGTAGCTTTCATTTCATTGTTAAGCCCCCACAACTAAGCAAGTTATTCTATAGGTAAAAAAGAATTTTACTTTTATAGTAATTAAATGTACATCCTCAGAATATAAATAATTTTTTCATATTTGACTATTATGGATTAACAGAAGTCTCACACATTCTTATACTTACTGAGATATTTTGTTCAGGTTATCACAATCTATAGCATTATATAGAAAACAATGTGCATTTTTCTAGCAGATGAAAACCAGGCGAATTTTTTCATACCAATGCAACCACTGAAGTTGTTTGGTGATTTAAATTTAAAATATAGTTAACCTCACTATATGCAATTTTAAAAAAATCTACAATTTCATGAACACTTAAGAAATCGTAAATCCTAGTATTTGTTCTGAGACTCTGTTGCTCATAGCAACAAAATTTATCCAGCAATGGAATGGAATAATGAGTCTGTTGTGTATTAAAGAACTACTTGACTTCAGCCTCCAAATATAGGCTTTGGCAGTTAAATATAGTTACTCTTTGAACTTTTGTATTTTACAGCTTCAAAAGGGGGGAAAAGATTCTTAAGAAATGTTTTCAAACAGTGAGAAATCCTTAGCCTGAATGCATTCATGCCATTAATATGTGAAGGTGCTGGAGAAAAAAATGGCACACAACTTATTCTTTTTTCATACTCTCAACTGGTAGTAATCAACCTAACATGACTCTTAGAAACCAAAATGTTTGATGTATCCAGAGTACTCTTCTTTCTGAGGGGAAACTAGAATGTTTTAGAAATCACTGCAGGAACCACAAACAGGGTAAAATGCAGAAGAACCCAGGGCTGTGTCATAGCACAGCAGTCTGAAATGGGGCCCCAGGTAGAAGAAGAGGGGGAAGATTTATGCCTTTGGCAAGTGCAAGGTCATAAACCCAAGTTTTTCCAAGTTATAAGGAGGACCTGCATCCTCAAATGATGGCTACTAGTCACAACACTGGACTTCTACCAAAAGCTGCTAGTGGTTTTTTAATTTTATTTTGTTTTGGTTCCTTTTTAATATGCCAGCTGTCTCTTCCCATTGTCACCTGAGTGAGGTCTCTGCTGACATCCCTGGCTATGGTGTTGTTCCCCATCAGTGATTCATCTTAATCCATTAAATGCTAGCACAAATGATATTAATAACCAAGGGTCAAGACTTTTAATTTCTTGCCTAAAAGTTGCTATTGTTGACAGCTCAATGCCTATGCATCAGACTCAGAGAGATATGCCACTTACTGAACCACCAACACCACCTCCTTGGTTTTGGAGTAGGGGTGCTTACTTTCTCATCTAAAAATTGACATAGCCCACCCAGACTAATTTGAAAGAGATAGAATTGCTGCTGAAAAGGCAAGGCAGCAAGCCACACAAATTGAGTGGTAAGAGTAGAGAGTAATTCGTGAACTTGGCAGGAATAGATGCTATGATGGGAGCTGGCAACTGGATCTTGGCTGGTGCCATTCCTCAAAGGAAATTGATAAACCCTGAATTTTCCATTTATGTGTAACAGCTGTGGTTTTGTCCCTACAGAAAGTTTGTGATAAATTTCTAAGCATTGCTAAATTAACTCTTACTGCATCAACGTGTAAGAAATTTGTTGTATCAGGAAGAATTAACACACATCCAAGGAAACAGAAACCCATTTAAGACTAAATAAAATGCTATGACCTTAATCTTATGAAAAGTTCTGCTTAGCTAAGGAAGAAACTAGAAAACACTGTTAATTTTAGAGCACCTTATGCTTCTGGTGGTACAGAATCAACAGTTTGGGAAGCTTACTGCCTATATACCCAAGAGAAGAGGTCAGAACTCTCTGAATTCTAACTTGTAGAGAATTCTGTAAGAATAAGACAGTTCAGTTTTCAGGTCTATTGTCTTAAATTTGTCTCCTCTTTTATGAAGCCCACTAGTTTCAGAAACGCACTTTAAAGTAGAGTAGCTTCTGTTTCCATCACTTTTGACAATTATGGAGGTTTTTATCATGACAGATGAACCTATATTCCATCCTATGTTCTCGAGATAAATAACCCCTCCAATGACTATCTGACAGGGCTACCATGATCATCAGGTCACTGGACCTTCTAATTTCAACAATCTCAAGTCACTCACTGAGCTAGATTCAGACAGACATAGAAAAGGCTAGAGCTTTAAAACCATTTGACCAGTGTTGTCCACTGTTAGTTATGACAGAAGCAACTGTATGCATCTCTTTTCTTTTCTCCACCTTCACTGTCTGACAATAGCCAAACCAATACTATTGCAGAAGCCATGGTGATTCACACTATATGTGTTTTGTCACACCCTTAGGTGAGAAGAGTAGGGGTAAACGCCTCTTCCTCTCTCTGCAAGATCAAGGTCATGCAAAATTACCCACTGATTCACTGTCCTGGAAATATTTTATTTAATTAATTTATTTATTTTTTGAGGAAGATCAGCCCTGAGCTAACATCTGCTGCCAATCCTCCTCTTTTTGCTGAGGAAGACTGGCCCTGAGCTAACATCCCTGCCCACCTTCCTCTACTTTCTATGTGGGATGCCTGCCACAGCATGGCTTGGCAAGCAGTGCCATGTCCACACCCGGGATCTGAACTGGCGAACCCCGGGCTGCCAAAGTGGAATGTGTGCACTTAACTGCTGTGCCACGGGGCTGGCCCCTGTCATGGAAATATTTAAATGCTTCTTTGGTAGATTCCCAAAGAATTATATTGCTACCAAAAACTGACAACAGACTTGTAGAAAAAAACACAAGAACAGTGGAAGAAGTGAAAGTCCCAAGTAGTCAACCTTTTAGAGCTACATCTTTTACCTAAGAGACCTCATCCACTCTCACTACTTATATGCTGATAACACCTAAGTCTATATCTCAACACAGACCTCTCCTCTAAGCTCCAGACTCATAATTCCAACCATGCAGTGAACATCTTCACCTGAATTTCTCTTAGGCAATTCAAACTAGATAGGTCTAAACTTTAACCTGTATTACCTTTTCCCAGAACTTGCTCTTTTCCTCTTTCCCCTTTCTCATTCTTTGACTTTTCCCTCTTTTCCACCCCTGGATCTAATCAATCTCAAGTGCTAGCACTTTCCTCAGTCCTCTCTGTCCTGCTATTGCCAGGTTCTCATCGTCACTTGCTTGGACTATTATGATGGCCTTCTAACTGATCTCCCTCCATCAGTCTTGGGCCCCTCAAATGCATCCTCTACTCTACTGCTGGAGTGATCTTTCTCAAATTCAAATCTGACTGTGTCTCTTCTTAAAACTTTTCATGGCTTTCCACTGCTTATAGCAGCATGGTGCACAAGGTACTTCAGCAGGCAGTCTGTCTACCTCTCCAGCCTTATCTCTTCCTTCCACCTTGTATTTCCTTTGCCCTTTATACTCCAGCAGTAGTGAATTACTGGTGATTCTAGAGTTATGCCTAGTAAGCTTTGTGCATTATCTATACCCTCATCTCCACTCCTTCTGCTCTCGGCTGCCTGATGGACTTCCTCTAGATCATCTAAAATCCTATTTATAGGTCATCTTCCCTAACCTAGACAAGTTTAATCACTTCCTTTCCTACTACTTCCTATGTCATAATACTTCTGACTTCCTTTCCTATATTACTATGCATGCCTTTAAGATAGAGAAGGAACACATCAAAACCCTGATACATTATTACAAATATTGACTTACACTTCTGTCTCCCCAGGATTGTGACTCATTAAAGGCACAGACCATTTTGTATTTAGTTTTATAACCCTGATGCCCAGCACAGCATCTGGCACACTGCACACTCAATAAGTACTGGCTATTCTTGAAAAGGATTCTAAAATTCATTCAACTACAAAAGAGGGGGGGGGGCACTACACCAAGACGTTATTTATCCTGCAAAAATCACATAAATTGATAATATCAACATGAATATATCTTTGTCAGATGATCAGTTAGATGGTTGAAATATTCTTTTTCTCTGTAAGTCTATTTCAGTTCCTCCAGAAATCCACAGGTCTTCACTCAGAAAAAATTTCAAAAACTATTTGTATAGCTCAAAACACCACAGCAGCTCGGTACTCCTAGATCCCTTCTGTGAGGAAAGTTACAGAGAGGTTATAACTGGCTGCTGGTATTGGGATTATGGCTGTGGTTTGTGTATGCAGATATACACACTTTCAGGAACATGTCCAATCTACTCCGCCAGCCAGACAGAAGTGGGGTCTGTGTCTTTTATAGGTTTTATTTCCCTGCGCCATTCCCCACACACTGTGTCTGCTCAACAGATGTGCAATCCTAGTTCTAACAATAATGGGAAAGTTGACAGGCAGCCTGCATTAGTGGAAAGAATACTAGCCAGGAGCTAGGACACATGACTAGCAGTGATAAAAAGTAAAAAGAGAGAAGTTGCTGTCCTGAATGAGCTTATACATAAATGAGAAGTAACATGAGAAGGAAGTAACAATTTTGAGGACTTGCTATGTATTAGACCCTGATTTTGGCACTTGATATAAATTAGCTAATTTAGTCCTCACAAAAACTCTGTGAGAGAGGATCATTATTGTCTCTGTTTTACAGGTAAGAGAACTAACTCAGAATAATTTACCCAAGAACACACAGCTAATAAGCGGCAGAGACAGCATCTGTACCTTGGTCCAGGGCCCACATTCTCAACTAGTATTCTCCACTGCAAGTGTTTTGTATGTCAAATGTGAAAGAATAAACTTAAAAACTTATACTCAAAATTTTATATGTCCATCTAACTGATCAGCAAATAACTGCACAGTATAAGGAATTTTTTTAACAGTAGTTTAATAGCTTTGCAGGGAAGGCAGGAAAATGCAGTGAATTAGAGCTCACGCTCTGGAGTCGAGACACCTCAAGCGTCATCCAGGCCCCACCTCACATGAACTGTGTTTTCTTAGTTACTTTATTACTCCCTCAGAACTTCTGTTTTTGCATCAGTGAAATAAAGAGAATACTACTCTCTATTTCATAGGGTGAATATGAAGATAAAATGATATAATACTTGCAAAACCTTAAAAAAGATTTAATAAATACCAATACTAGCAAATTAACAGTAATAAAAGCTAACAAAGAAAAAAACTACAAAAACAGAAAACATTACTTACAGAAGCCAGTAACCTTCCATCTTCCTTCATAGCAAGATAACGGTTCGCACACACTCCTTTGATAGACACAACCCCTCTCTCTTCTGCTTGAAGTTGTAGTTTGACTGTAAGTAATGAGGAAAAAAAGACCTTTGTAGCATCAAAGAAAAAACAGCCATCTACACATTTATGCAATATAAGCACAAGACACACCTGAGCAACCAGCTATTCCACTCCGGAGGATTGGCGGGGTGGGGGGACAGGGGACGGATGTGAATTAAATTCTCTCAGCAAGGAGGAGAGGCAGATCTACGAGCGCAGGACAGCCTCTTGACTTCCTTCTCACCATGTGTCAGTGAGCAGAGAAGAGTCACAGAATGGAGAATTTTTTCTTTACTGTGCAATTAGCCTCCACTTGGCCCTGTTAACTGCTTAACATTTTTTTTAAGTGAACATATTTTGAGAGTACATAAAAATGTAAACCACTTATGAGAATTTCCATGCTACTGTCTCAGTTCAAACTCTTTAAAACTTATTTTTAACCAATTCTTCACAAATAAAATATAATCTAATTGCTCTCTATTATCTTTTGGTTTGTATTTCCTTCTGTTTCTACACATCTTATTTCTCGCTTCCCCTTCAGTACAATACCAATGCATTTATCTGTCTTTATGGAGGGATTGTGATGTACAGCTGTATTTTTATTTTTGCAGGTATCCATCTAGTGGAAAAACAAAATGCTTATATTTAATTTGCTTATACAGTGTCATGAAGGATTTTCAGAAGGTAAGATCCTGAAGAGGATGACCTGTCTGTTACACTACATTATCAATATTACACAGGTTGCAGGAAAACAAAAAATAAATATTACATGATTATGATGATCATGCCATATGGACAAATAATGATCTAATTAATTCAGATAAAAAAAAAGTTAAAATTTTCTATTTTGCTGCTCAGAAGAAGCATTCTCCCACCTAGAACACCACTCCCCAAAATGTATTTTGGCTAACAGATGTTACATTAAAAAAGGGTTCTGGGGCCAATAAAGTTAGGAAATTCTTGGGTAAGCCTGTTAACTCTTTATTGCCAAACTTCTCAGAACTTTGCTCCTCATAGCCTGCAGTGTAAATCACCATAAGGGGATCAAGTATACAGTATTTATAAAGTTTGCCTGGTCCAAGAATGAATTTTTTCACAGGTCATTCTATGGTCTATGAACATATCTAGGATATTCTTGACAGCAGTAGAAAAAAAGCAGTGAATAGTCAAAATTTTAGAAATCAGATACTATTATTTGGATAACATTAGAAACATAAAGTAAACTTAATTTTCCCAGGTGTTTCCAGGTAGCTAGGAAAACATGGCATGAAAAAGTAATGTTTGAAAGATTCTGGAATTATTATTAACTTTGTTAGATATGACTATGTCATAGTAATTATGTTTTAAAATTTTTCCTATCAGCTAGAGCTACCTACAGGTAAAATGAGATATAACACCTGGGAGTAGCTTAAAAATATCCTAGTAATCAATCAATCATTTTTTTATAAAGTGGGTGGGATAAATAAAAGAAGATTGATTAACCTATGTCAATAGTTTTTAGAAGCACAGGCTTTCATCACGCTATTCTCACTATTTTATGAATGTTTGAGAATTTACATTTTTAAAAAAAGACATCTGTTGGACATTTAATGTCTGATTCTCTTCCATGCACCAGTCACTCCTGTATTCCGGAGAGCACAGCATTAGTTAAGCCTGAAGTTACCAGACAAAAGTCTTCTACAGAATCTTAAAAGATAATACAAAGTAAAGAGAACTATAATCAAAATGTGGAAACGAAACAAAAAGATTGTTGTCTTTTTCACAACATTACTGAGAAATGTAGAAAATAAGCTTTATTTTTAACAAATATAACCAAAATTATCTTAACGATTATGAGCAAATCCTTGCATACAGCTCTAAAATGATCTAGAGAGGCCATATTAATTCTGAATACATTCTCATCTCTTCTTAACTCATACAATTAGCAAATAAATGTTGGTTTATTAATAGATGGTCTCTGGAAAGAAATGAGAGTAGTTGGTAACAGTGCAGGCCTCCAGGGAGGGGAACTGAGTGAGATGAGACAGAAATGGGATAGACTTCTTTCCCACCATACACCTTTCTGTATTTCCTATATTTAAAAAACATTGACATCATACCTATGTAATGTCAATAAATAAGGTTCAGATATCCATATGTTCTATAAATGCTCATGAGGCAAGACTGCATAATCAATCCCTATACTTCTTTCAGCACCTTATCAATAAACTGTAGCCTAGCCCTAGCCTACCATCTTGCAAATGAGTATTACTGGTCAGAAGGGAGATTATGGATACTAACGTATGACCAATACCAGTGACTTAATACCCAAAGTAAATGTCATCATTCACTTATTCACTGGCCTTTTACAGATTTCTTGGGTATTCCACACTAGGGATTTGTTGTTCAATAAGACACTAAAAAATAAACATTAATGGTAGGTGCTTGAAAAGTGTTTCCATTGCCATATAATTATAAAAATATAAACTTTAAAAATAACTAGAGCCTAAAACAAGAAGAAGCTGGCTAAGCCACAAAAATCATAGATTTTTCTTTAAAACCCCATCAGAGCTGAGATGCAAAGAACCTAAATGAACTAAATTCCACATACAGATGATGATCCCTTCCCAAAAAAGAGATGACCAGCTGCTTTCTTCTCTGACAGGAAGAAGAATAAACCTGCCAAAAAGGAGAGTATGGAGAAACCAGCTGAACTTTTACAAACTTTTAGTTGCTGCTAATGTGAGGAATTAGAATTCTGAGGAGCCCTAATCAGAGAGCAGTCCCATACCCGCCTGACAGCTCTCTCCCACAGAGCTCGCACCCAGTGCACAACCACCACACAACAAAGGCTGGGCACAGAACAGAGGGGCTGAGAGAGACGCCTGAGTACTTCAGGCCTTTGCTGAACACAAAGCAGGAGTCCACTGAGGGCTGGGAGAAAGACAAGGCTGAGAAAATCCCTCTGAGAAGCACTGAGCCTTCATCAAATGCAAAGCAGGATGAAGAGAGATCTTCCAAGACAAGGAAAGCCAGGGGTAGAGTTCAGGAGCAAGGTTGACTCCTGACCTACCAAACATTTGGCAGCTGGGCTATAAGGCAAAAGGGAATACAAAAAACTACTCAGTTAACCTAAAGAAGGCAAGAAAGGAGAAATAAAGACAAAGAACAGATGAAGAAATTAGGAAACAAATTCCAAGATGGCAGATTAAACCCAAACATGTCAATAATTACACTAAATGTAAATGAACTAAACACTCCACTTAAAGGAAACAACTGTCAACAGGATAAAAAAAGCAAACCCAACTATGTTGTTTAGAAGAAAACACTTTAAATACAAGCAAGTTGCAGTAAAAGATACAGACAAGTTGAAAGTAAAAATGTGGAAAAAAAATGTAAAATGCACACCCTAAGTATAAGAATGCTGGTATGGCTATATTAATATCTGATGATGTGGACTTCAAGGCAAATAGTATAACTAGAGATAAACAAGGTTATTTCATGATGATAAGAGGGTCAGATACATCAAGAAGGCATAATTATTTTAAATGTGTAGCACCTAATAATAGAACTCGAAAATATCTGAAGCAAAAACTAACAAAAGAAGGGGCTGGCCCAGTGGTGTAGCAGTTAAGTTCATGCACTCCACTTCAGTGGCCCAGGGTTCGCCGGTTCAGATCCTGGGCGTGGACCTACATATGGCTCATCAAGCCAAGCTGTGGCAGGTGTCCCACATATTAAATAGAGGAAGATGGGCACAAATGTTAGCCCAGGGCCAATCTTCTTCAGCAAAAAGAGGAAGACTGACAGTGAATGTTAGCTCAGGGCTAATCTTCCTCAAAAAAATAAATAAATAAAAAATAATAAGAAAATTTTTTTTAAAAAATTGACAGAAGAAATTTAAAAATCACTAAGAATATGGAATATATGAATAACATTATCAAGAACTTGATGACTTTTTTTGAGATCAGGTAAGTTCCATTCACCTGAGACTTCCTTCTCTTCTTAACATCACAGTCATTTGGAAACTATGCTAAAAAATATTAACTCTGCTAGCATAGTAAGCCATCCTATGCTTATTTGCCTAGTGAACCTGAATTGTTCAAATCAGTTAACTACAGCTGAGAAGCTCTTTTTCGAAAGTCACCGTGATGTAAAAAGTACTATCAAGGGCTCTTGTCCTGAACTGCTGGTGCCCCTGGTTCCTTTGTTTGTTTTTTAACAGGCTGAGATATAATTCATGTACCATACAATTCATTTAAAGTGCACATACAATTCAATGATTTTTAGTATACTCATGTGCTGCATAACAACATTTCTGTCAATTATGAACTGTGTATAAGATGGTGGTCCCATAAGATTAGTACCATATAGCTGGGTATGTAGTAGACTCTATCATCTAGGTTTGTGAAATACACTCTGTGATGTTCTCACATTGATGAAATTTCCTAACGCACTTCACAGCATGTATCCCAGTCATTAAGCAACACAGGACTGTGTATTTATAGGGTTGTGCAACCATCACCACAATCAATTTTAGAATCAATTTTCATAATCCCACACCCTTTAGCACTCACCTCCTGAGTCCCAAATACCACCATCCCCAACCCTAATCTACTTCCTGTCTCTGTATTTTCTATTCTGGATATTTCATATGAATGGGATCATACATTATGTAGTCTTTTGTGACTGGCTCCTTTCACTTAGTGTAACATTTTCAAGGTTCTTACATGTTGTAGCCTTTATCAGTACTTCATTCCTTTTTAATGCCAAATAATATTCCTTTGAATAGATAGACTACATTTGATTTACCCATCCAGTTGATGGACATTTGGTTTGTTTCCAGTTTTGGGCTATTATGAATAATGCTGCTATGAACATTCGTGTACAAGATTTTGTGTAGACATAAGTTTTCATCTCTCGGGTATATACCAAGAAATTGAATTACTGGGTCATCTGGTAACTCTATGTTTAATCACTTGAGGAAGTGTCAGATTGTTTTCCAAAGCAACCATTTACATTCCCACTAGAAAATGAGAGTTCTAGTTTCTCCACATCCAGGCCACACTTGTTACAGTCTGTGTTTTTTTGTTTTGTTTTGTTTATTATAGCCATCCTGGTTGAGTGTGAAGTGATATCTTGTAGTTCTGATTTGTATTTTTCTGATGGGTAATGATGTTGAGCATCTTTTCATGTGCTTATTGGCTATTTGTATATCTTTTTTTTTTTTTTTTTTTTTGCTGAGGAAGATTCACCTTGAGCTAACATCTGTGCCAATCTTCCTCTATTTCTTATGTGGTTTGCCACCACAGCATGGCCAGCGATGAGTAGTCTAGGTCTGTGCCTGGGAACTGAACCTGGGCCACTGAAGTGGAGCATGCCGAACTTAACCACTAAGCCACAGGACGTATATCTTCTTTAGAGACATGTCAGTTCAGATCCTTGGCTCATTTTTTAATTAGGTTGTCTTTTTATCACTGAGTTATAATAGTTCTTGATACATTTTAGATACAAATCCCTAGTCAGCTATCTGATTTGCAAATATATTCTCCCATCCTATGCGTTGTCTTTTCACTTTCTTGATGTTGTCCTTTGAAGGATAAACATTTTTACTTTTCATGAAATCCAGTTAATCAAATTCATTCTTTCGTGGTTTGTGCTTGTGGTGTCATATCTAAGAAATCATGGCCTAATCCAAGGTCCTGAAGATTTACCCCTATGCTTTTCTCTTAAGAGTTTTAGTTTTAGCTTGTCATTTAAGTTTTGATCTGTTTTGAGTTAATTTTTCTATCCAGCTTCATTCTTTTGCATGTGGATATGCCCAAACTGACACTTAAAGATCACTATACTCTACATCTGCAGAACATTCTTTTCAAGGAATACTCCCAAGAATAAACTATATGCAGGCCATGAACAAGTCTCAATACATTTAGAAGGCTTGATATCATACAGAGTATTATATTAGAAATTAGTAACAATAAGATATCGAGAAAATCCCCCAAATATTTGGAGATTAAGCAATACATTTCCAAACAAAACACAGATAAAAGAAATCACAAGGGAAATTAGAAAATACTTCTAATTATATGATAATGAAAACTCAACATGCTTAAAGGGAAAGTTATAGTTTTAAGTGTCTATATTGGAAAAGCAAAAAACTACGAAAATCTAAACTTCTACTTTAAGAACTAGAAAAAAAAGAGCAAATTAAGCCCAAACTAATAGCAAAGGGAATACTTACTATGTAAAAATTATACACTTGAATATATAGACAGATTAGTAGAAAATAATCCCAGAGTTAACAGTTATTTTGGGGTGATAAAACAAAAATAATATTTTATTTGCGTATAGTTTTTGTTATTTTTAAATTTTTATTGATTGACCATCTGTTACTTTTACAATAAGAACTTAAAATGTTAATATTGTCAAAATTTTAAAATAATCTAGAATAAAATACCAAGTATGTGCCATACTAAACATGACCAGGAAAATAATCACATTCGTGAATTCCAAGAGGGAGAAGAAGTTTCTCAATTAAAAGAGATCTAAGAGACATATCAATCAGAAGCAATGTGTGAACCTTGTTTGAATCCTGATTAATGCAAACCAACCATAAAAATATATATATATATAAGACCATAGGGGAAATTTTAACACTAACTGGATATTTTATGCTTCTGAGGAAATTTTAAATTTTTAGGCATGAGAATGGAACTGTGACTATGTTTTAAAGTCCTTATCTTTTAGAGATTAATAACATATTAATCATTTATGTATCTAATATGTACTAATACATACAAAGAACTCATGTAATGATCTATGTAAGTCATTTTTAAATGATTTGATGAAATGATATGATGTCTAGATATACTTCAAAACAATCTAGTAGTAGCGGGGAAAAGAGCCGGCAGAGGTATATATGAAACAAGATTGGTCATGTGCTGCTAAAGGCTGAAGCTGGGTGATGGGTACATGGAGTTCATTATACTGGTTCTTCTATTTTTGTATTTATTTGAAACTTTCTAATATAAGTTTTTTGGGTTGTAAAAGAACAAAAAGTAACCAAAGGCAGTTCATTGGGCAATTGGTGTTAAATTTGAGTAGCAGTGTATTGAAGGGTATTGTCTTAGACAATTTGGTCTGCTATAACAAAAATGTCATAGACTGGGTGACTTAAGCAATGAGCACTTATGTCTCAGTTGTGGAGGCTGAGGAATCCAGATCAAGGTGCTGTTAGATTCCACATCTGGTGAGGGCCCTTGTCCTGTTTCACAAACTGCTGTCTTCTCTGTGTCCTCACACGGTAGAAGAGGCTAGGGAGCTCTGTGGGGTCTCTTTTACAACGACAATGATTCCATTCATGAGGGCTCCACCCTCTTGACCTAATCACCTCCCAAAGGCCCCACCTCCTTATACCATCACACTGTGGGTTAGGATTTCAACATATGAATTTGAGGGGGAGACAAACATCAGTCCATTACAGGTGTAAAAACTGTGTTAATATTCCAGATAGAGTCCTTGAGATACTCTGCAGATTCTATACAACGTGAAATCTCAGCCGGTACTCAAGGACATCTCAGCCGGTACTCAAGGACACCGAACAGTACAGCCCAGTGAAATTAACTCTGGTTACATTACAAGCCTCTTAGTTGTCATTGTTCCATATGGGACTGGCTTCATGGGGAGGAAAGATACAATAAAATAATCACACTTGAGATTTAGAAGACTCTTAGTAAGCAAAGTCATTGGATCTTAGAACATAATAAAGGCATAAGCCAAAGACATGCTTCATTTGCTGGGGGCAGAGGAGGGAGAGGGTCTCCTTAAAGGAGTAGTTTTAAATATGAAGTACTTTAGAATAGGGAATGAAAGAAATTATATTAAATTTCCACATAAAGAGTACACTGCAAAACTGCCCACACTTTTCAGGAAATGAAACGATATAATACACAAACAAGCTAATAAAAATTGGCTCTGAAAAGTGCAGGAAGACTTAACCATCAACTCTTCTGAACCATACAGATGATCCATCCCCTTCTGTGCGTAACTAAGGAAGCTGTCATCCTCAGCCTAGTTCCCGGAAATAGCAAAATATTTATTTATTTTCTTATACTTAGATAGATGTTGAAGGCTTGGTTTTCATCAGGTTTTTTTTTTTAAGATTTTATTTTTCCTTTTTCTCCCCAAAGCCCCCTGGTACATAGTTTTGTATATTTTAGTTGTGGGTCCTTCTAGTTGTGGCATGTGGGACGCCGCCTCAACACGACCTGATGAGCGGTGCCATGTCCAGTCCCAGGAGCCGAACCAGCAAAACCCTGAACTGCTGAAGCGGAGCCCACGAACTTAACGACTCGGCCACAGGGCTGGCCCCTCAT